CCAATGGGTAGGATGAGCGTGGCAGGGGTTTTTCCTGTTTCTCTTTGTAGTTTGGTAAAGGCCATAGCTGTCCGTAGGGACGCTGGGTCGACCTCAGGCGGAGCGGGTTGATCAGGGATTGGTGGGTCGGGTTCCCACCACTCGTTGAGATTGCTCATCTGGAAGGGTGATAAAGTTGAATTAAGATGTAGTAATGGACAGAAAAAATTTAAGGTTGTTATGAGCTTCAAAAGAATAGATAATGTCACTTGACAACACTAAAGGAGGTTGACAGGGGGAAAGTGTGGAGGCTTCCAATGGTGGAATGTGGGAAGATGTCCATTGGAGGGACTGGGCTCTCTTTTTGAAAGCGATAAAGTAGGTAAAGGTTGTAGAAGGCAAAGAGGAAGTTAATAAATGTAAAGTAATGGAGACAGTAAGATTATCATGTTTGGTGACGCACACAAAAAGTTTTTGATTGTAACAGGACAACAAAACGGCCCACTTTAAGGGAGGGGTGTGGTTGGAATGGACGCCCAGGAAAAGTAGTGACAACCGGGGCAAGTCCGGAATTTGTGGATGGGCGCTATGAAAATGGGAAGGGAGAGTAGAACGCTCTCCCTCCCAGGTACAATTTTGGTCTTGGAAAGGACAAACTAATGGTTGGAAGGGACAGTTTAGTTGGTGTGATACCTGAAATTTTTCGAGAAGTAGTTTGGTACATTCATATTGTCAGTGCTTACACGGGAGTCTTAAGGTCGAGGTGAGTTGGTCGACAATTAAGCTCCTGATGTGTCTCATCGGCTCTTGGCACGTATGGAAGTGTGTAATTTGCGGCTTACATGTGGAACAAACCAGATGACCATTTGCGCACTTATAAGCTGGAGCCTGGATCAAATTATAGCAAATAGGACAGCTTAATAAGGTAGTGATGGATTTGTCAGTGTCAGGGGATGCCATGATGCTTAAAAAAGGGAAAAATACATATAAGGAGATGGAATTCATCTTCGGTTAAAAGTAAAAATGTATCAATAATCCTGAGGGTGATGGAAGGGGAAAAACAAAGGTATGTAGCTAAATAATAGGAAAGAAACGAACTTCTTTTAAGGGTCATTAGTATGACTGAACAATGGGCTTCCAGTTTCGTTGTGTTGGGTTGCTTCGAGGCAGTGCCTCTCGAGAAGCGGTGTTTATTTCGGGTTCCTTGGATTGGGATTTCCCTCTTCTATAGTAGGTAGGGGGAGTTCTTCCGGGTAGGATGTGGGTGAAGGTGGAGTTGGTCAAGTATTTTTGTTATGAATACAATAATAGATAAAACAAATGAGGCAAAATACTCCTATAATAATACCTAGACCTCCTGTAATGATTTCATGATAACTAACGAGTTATACGTGGGAGCGGATTCAGTTGTTCTCTGAAGCAGGTGTTCAAGATCATATTGGACTACGGTCAAATCTCATTCGGCCAATTTTATATCATAATTATAATGGGAAGCGGAATCTATTATTTTTGGGCCGACTTCCTGGAGACGTTGCAACAGTTGGATCTCGGTTTGATTTAGTATTTGTTTGATAGGTGGAATTATTACTTGTTGTGCGATCTCCAATTGTAGAGTGGATTGTTGTTGAAAATGTGGGGTAAGAATAATTTCGGGCAAAAAACCGGTACAGGCATTCGGCAGGAAAATCATTCCAGTGTGATTTAATTTTTTTGTGGTGGCTAAAAAAGGGGATTTTTGATGTCGAGCAGGACATCGGATAGTTAATGTGAGTGGCTCAGACATGGAATAAATCCATACTCCGGGACGATTTATGCGCTTAAAAATTGGATTATATTTCGGGACTATATGTCGAGTGCAAAGTTCCTTGACCTTCTTTTCATTTCCGCTGAATAGCGAGTATTCACAACTCTGGTGGGGCGTTCTGTGAATAGGAATGTCTAATGAACATAAGAAAAAATGGCTGTTTGACAAATGGAAAACTCATGCCTCTGCAGCAACATATAGGATTGTCTATCCATGGAGAGGGTAATTGGGTTGGATTTGTATAAAGGTTTTTAAGGTAGGAATGTAAGTAGGGAATTTTACGATTTCATACATATCAAAGTATCCACTAGAAGTGATTAAAGGAATCTTGGCAAAGATTCTCAGTTTGCCGGGCAATGTGACTGCCACCAATGAACCAAGCCCAACATCTTCAAGAATCATTATACTTCATCTTCAAGAATCAACTATACAATTTTATTAACTATATTTACTATTTGTCGCTAATAATAATTTTTTTATCCCCGGTAACCTAGTTACTGGGATAAAAAAAATAATAATTTATTGGGTAAAATTTTTCTTGTTTTATTATATGCTTAGATATACATATAGTAGTGAGGGATGAATACATAAATTGAGTTAATAGTTAATAGTTGGCTTCGCTATGAAGAACTTTGACCGCCCTAGTGTCAAGATTGTTTTCGTCCCCGTGTAGCTTGATTCTGGCGAGAACGTTCTGGTTGCTGCGAAGGAGGGAACAACGGAGTTCGTGAGGCCGTAACAGAAGAGATACCGTCTGGGGGATTGTAGTAAGCCTCGATACATGCTAGCTTATCTACGTATGCTGTCTCCAAATGTGGAGGGCATTCATAATTGACAGGAAGCACTAGTGTGGCAGGGGTATTTTTATGTCGGTACTGTGACCAGTTGAAATTGATGGCAGCTTCGAGGGATGGTCCCTTGATAAATTTTCGTTCTGGAGATGGGGAGGAAGGAGAGGAAACGAAAGAGTCCCACCACTGATTATCAGGATTATCCATGGCTGGAAAGCAGGTTGGAAATATTAGAATAGTACAATTAATCGGTATCATTTACATTAATAGTAATAATGAACTTAAAATTATGGAAAGCACCGAAAGAGTAAATAGATTCGGCAGAAAGTTCTAATGGAGAATAGAGGTCATAGGTGTCGATAGATTCCCAGAGAGGAATATGGGTAGAATTCCATTGAAGTGAGTGAGGTCCTCGCTTCAAGTTAATTGTATAGGTAAAAGAGGACAGAGAGGGAGGTTTGGTTAAGATATAGACCTTAATAGAAAAGTGGGGAATTTCTGAATGGGTCTTGGTGACGAGGATGAGGAATTCATGTCCATAACAGGCTAAGAGGGTAGCCCATATTAGTGGACTAGGTCCTTCTGCATCAAGACCAAGGAAGAGGATAGAAGATCGATTATATTTGTTTATCTGCGAATGAGCTTGCTGAAGATGAGGTGAGATAAGTGATCGCGCTCCTTCCCACAGACAATTCAAGTCCCTGGGGGGACATGGGAAAGGGGTGAATGGACACTGCCGTTCATGAAACTCCCGATCTTCGGTTGTTAGATATTCGGGGCATCCATGAGCTTGGTGCATGCAGAGTAACCGTAGGGAGGCGGTGATTTGTTCGGCGACGAGACTACGGATATTTCCCATAGCCTCCCGGCACGTATGACATTGTGTGATACGTGGCTTACATTGCGAGCAAACAATATGTCCATTTGAACATTGAAATACTGGCGATCTCACAATCTCTACACAAATGGGACAGCTGAGTAAATTGGCCAAGGACTTATCCATGGTTATAGAAGCCATAATTCTGTAAGGAAGAAGAAGTACATATAAGGAACGTTATTGATGTAATGAATTTTAACTAAATAAGGTTATGGGAGATCAATTTCTCCATTTTAATCCTCGCTAAGTTCGGGCGAGGAGCGTCGGCTATGAGCAGGAGAGATAAATCGGGGAATACGACTACGGACTCAACGGGGCCGAGGCATAACCCAAGATTGTTCAGCAACCGGACAGCAACTCCGAAGGGCATAAGGAGGCGAAATTTCGGTTTCTGCCTCCGTTTCGGACTCGGCGGAGTCTCTTTCCTCTTCGGCTTTTTCACTCTCACGATCGCTAACTAATTCGGGTGATGGGACAGGTATAGAGTTTAGAATAAACTCATCCCAAGGATCGGATAGTAATTTTGGCTCTGTGTTTCGATCATCATTAATTGGTTATTTTTCGCTGTATCCTGGATTTTTATATATCTTTATATTCAGTAACTCTTAAGGATTCTGTAAGTGTTAATATTTTAAAAATTGGTAAGGTACTTTTTATATTATAAGCACCCGTTATTTTTGGCCTTTGTCGGCCCCGCTCGTGCTTCCTGTTTGGATCCAGGCTACTTTCGTTACGTTATTATATTGACCTAGATATATGTAAAATGTTGTATAAATTTGGTTTCATTCTTTTAAACGGTTCGCGAGAATTTTCGGTTTAAATTATTTACCATAGACAAAGGTTGTGTCCACCACGTGGTCGTGTTAGCCACTCGGCGGGAGCTAGCTGTTTGGTGTGTGGCTTTTTGCGACAGTTGATTTCGTTTGTTCCATACTCTTAATTGTAATAGCAACTTTACTGTGTATACTTGTTCAACATGGATTCCAGCAAGCTCTCGGAGTTCCTGGACAAGGCCTACAGAATTGCAGACAAAGTGAAAGATTATTTGTTGACAACCATAACGGGCGTTTCAGCACGGAAGCACACACAAGATATATAAATAATCAAATTCAAAAAATAATCGACTTGGCAGAATCCACTATGAAGGATAACTGCCCATCGGATAATCTTACGGATAAGACTAATGCCTCGAGTGTTCCACTTACTTTGGGCACTCCTACTGGTAAGGGAGCCATGTCCCCTGGACACAAGGAGTCCTTGCTCACTGACATAACTGCATCTATGCCTGTCCTGCTGCCTCCCAGAATCCATCCTTCATCCAATTATCATCCCTCTAACCTCCACCAAAAATTGACAGATTATTACCAAAATCGATGGCTTAACCAACACTAGTGATAAGATCAGCAAAAACGTCAACAATATAGCTGAACAGCTAAACTATGTAGCCCCAAAAGAGCAAACTGAGGAGCTCTCTAGAAAACTAGAAAAGCTTATTACTGATGGCCCTATACAGGAAATCTTAGAAAACCAAAAGAGTGTACAGGAGAAGATGGAAAAGCTCCACCCCAGCAATTTCTCTCCTGCTGAAACACCCATCACTTATAGTACTGTTCTCCGATCCAGCAAGATCGTCAATCCCAATACCAACACAAAAATCCCAAGAACACCTATGTCTAGGCCTGAGGTCTTGCTCTTGTATCACAATAGCGATGATAAGAGCTGCAATAACTTAAGAAAATTAATTTATGACAAAGTAAAACCATCTGAACTTAATATTGGAGTTGAACGAATACGTAATATAGGAAACGGCGGCTTGGCTCTCGAGCTTAAGAAGGCAGCTGATGCCCAAAAACTTCAAAACTATATTGAGGATAAAATTTCGGAGATTGCTGTTAAAAAACCTAAGAAACGTCTACCGAATCTCATAATGTACTTCGTGCCTTCACTGATCGCACATGAAGAATTGCCACAACTCTTATACAATCAGAACGATACAATATCTGAAAATTTCACTGAGGAAGACTTCAAAGGGGCATTAAATACTAAATTCACAATGGGAAAGAAAACTAAACCATTTACCAATTGGGTGATCGAGGTCACACCCCAGCTGCGAAAGCAGTTGTTAATTCTGGGCAAGGTAAACCTGGAATGGCCCAGGTGTCGCGTGGCGGATTTCTGCCCCGTCCTGCAGTGCTATCGCTGTTGCAGATTCGGTCACACTACTAAAAATTGTAGCCAGACCACTGCAACATGTAGCCACTGCACGGGTGAACATGTATTTAAAGATTGCAACCAAAAAGACAAACAACCAATTTGCATCAACTGTAAACATGAAAAAGTTAGTAATGCCGATCATAATGCACGGGATAGCTTCTGTCACATCTACCAGCGTATCAAATACAACTTGCTAAAACAAATCGACTATGGAACAATATGCTAATAACTATATCAGTTTTCTGCAGTATAATGCTGGAAGGAGCATTGCAGCTACTTCCATCCTCAGCTCTCTCATGCCAAAATACGATTTTATTTTCTGTCAGGAGCCTTACTGTATAAATAACAAACCGGCCTGCATCCCATCCACCTGCACTCCACTCAGCGGCACTACCAATTACCCCTGGGCTGTGTCCATTGTCATCAATAACAGACTATCTCTTCTCCACCACTAGGCACTGAGTACACAGTATATCTGTTGTACTGAGATAGTTATCAACAGCAAAAGACACATTTTGATAAACTACTACTGCCCAAAGACCTAAACATCGAGCTTATGCTCAACAATATACAAAACATTATGGACCACTTTATTGATGTCTATTTTATTCTGGCCGGGGACACTAACGCCCACTCCCCTACCTGGGTGGGAGAGCGTCTTGACAATTGTGGACGCCTTCTTGAAGAGTTCTATGCCCACAGCAACCTGCTCGTTGTTAACGACCCTTCATCCCCGCCTACCTTCACATCAAGCCAGGGTCACAGCTGGATTGATGTGATGGCCTGTTCTTTGGAATGTTACCCACACATTAATGATTGGAAAATCCTGGACGACAATATTGATGATCATGCATTTATTTTTTTCAAGATTGGTGTTGCATCCCCCAACAATCTCTTCCAACCACGACTGAAATACAACCTGAAACGCGCCAATTGGAATGAACTACAGGCATTTCTTTTTACCAACCTAGTTGACTGCAACCATGACGATAGTGATGAAGCCTGCCACAGCATTGAACATAATATTGACATCATTGATAGAGCCTGCAAAATGTACATTCCCCAGTATGTTAACAAACGTAAATCCGTCCCATAGTGGACTCCTGATCTGACAAATCTTAGGAGGGACAATATTCATTTAAGGAAGAAATACCAGAACTGCCACACGCAACCCCAACGAAATCACAACAAACAGCAATATTACCACCATTTGAACATATACAAAAGTGAAATCAAAAAAGCCAAACAGAAGTCCTGGGAAAATTACTGTGCAAAGGCCACAAAAAGCCCATGGGGATTTATAACAAGACTCTGTACCAGGAAGCTAAGGAAAAGTCAAATTCTCTATTCTAACACAGCAGGGGAAGATTTTTTCCTAGCTGCGAACAGAAAAATTGATATCTTCTGCCTGCAGGATTTAGAGGAAAATGACAATGAAATCCATCAAAGAATTCGACATCAAACCAATGCAGACATTCACACTGAAAACGACCCCGACTTTCAACTTTATGAGATTGATAATGCCTTTAACAACCTCCGAAATAAAAAAGCACCAGGACATGACGATATTACTCCAGAACTGGCCAAAATCATCTGGAGCCTTGTTCCCAGTCAACTCACTCAACTATATAATGCCTGTCTTAAACATGGTATTTTTTCCTGAAACCTGGAAACATGCCAGGATTGTCCCCGTTCCAAAGCCAGGAAATTCAGAGGAAAGTCGACCAATATCTCTCCTGCCAGTCCTTGGCAAAGTCTTGGAACGCTTGATGAATAACAGACTAATGTGGCATTTGGAGACAAATTCCATTATACATGGTTCACAGTTTGGCTTTCGGCCACAGAAGTCATCAGAGGATGCTATTGAAAAGGTTGTAAGCAGGGTCAATGATTTACTCGATAGCTACAAATATGTACTTGCCATAAGCCTAGACATTGCCAAGGCTTTTGACAGCGCGTGGTGGCCCCTTATCCTGCAACAGTTAAAAGAAATGAACTGCCCTGCAAATGTTTATAAAATTTTCTATGATTATCTCCATAACAGAACAGCCACCCTACAGTGTGGTGAACATCTTATCCATCGCAAAGTCGTCCGTGGCTGCCCACAGGGTTCTGTCTGTGGCCCAGTCCTTTGGAATGTCATTTTTAACAACTTTCTGGAGCAAGATTTCGGCCAGCATGAGATAGTTTCCTATGCCGATGATGCTCTTGTGCTCCTCGGGGGCCGCTCTCGTGCTGCTCTCGAGGAAAACGGCAGCAACGCTCTGAATAAAATCTTACAGTGGGGAGAAGATTACAAACTAAGATTCAATGCAAGGAAAACCAAAGGTATCGTCTTTAACAAACCGGGCAAACAGAACTTATACCTCAGAGTGCCCACTATTAAAATGGGAGGTCACTCTGTCACTATTAAAAAATCCATTAAGTATTTGGGAGTAATTCTCGACCATCGACTTCTCTGGAAAGAGCACATAAATTACATCACTGAGCGGACCGGAAAAATCTTTAATGCCTTCGCCCGCATTGCAAAGAAAAGATGGGGCTTGGCCTCCGAGGCTATGGAAACAATCTACAATCAAATTTTTGTGCCCATAACATCATACGCGTGCGGCAGCTGGGGATTGGCTGTCCGCAAAGTGCACAACAGACGTAAAGTGATATCCGCTCAAAGAAGTGCACTTATGCACATTACTAGGGCGTATGCAACAACTCCCAATATCTCCCTACAGATTCTGGCAAAAAGGCACCCATAGATAAAGTTCTGATCTCTAAGGCAACACTCTGGCACTTCAAACGAGGCCACACCATTTATACGGAAAACTATAATGTGAGAATACGGACGAGGGTCCAGGCCCTCTAATCGTCAGATCAGTTAGACCTGCTCACTTTGTCACTGGATGGCTTAATTTTCAACAGAACCCGAGTGGTAAGATTCTGTGTGGGTGTGTGCACAAGAACGAATACCAGACAAGAAGGACATTAAATACAAAATTAACAATTTAATTATTACTAACAATACTACAATATCTTGGATACAAAGGAATAATACCATATAATAACAGTATTGATTACCTATGTGAGGATAGTTTCTATCTCTATGTTATTTAGAATAAGCCCGAGAGAGAGAGTTTTACATTAGATTTACCTCGTTGTTCATGTTGGGATCTGGTACCTTATAGATTCTCTTCCTGCAGAATGGAGTTGGGAGGACAGGCTGAACCAGGGATGAGGAGCACTTTGCTATAGCACCAATTTGAACGAACCCCCGAGAGTCCGTTAATCAGCCCTTTTATCCCCAATTATTTCATAACATCTTAGAAATTGGTTATGACATTTGAGCAGGTGGTGTGCAAAATTCTACGACACGAGGCGTGGAGGAAGGAAGCAAAACATCCTCAGTTCTTGGAAAAGCGCTACGTGACAGAGCAGATTCACAGGATGTAAAAATTTATGTCCTTATTAGGTTATGTTTTAGTAATTATTCCAAATTTTATCATTCTTTTTACGTAGTTGAGTGAAATTAAAGCATAGTATATATTACATTAAAATTTTATATTAATTATCTCAAGAACACCGTCAGATTGTCACAATAACATCAATAGCAGTGACTTCGAAAGCAGCATTGATTATGCTCTTACCAGGCATCCGGCAACACCCAATTTAATCACCTTCTCTCAGCCCGAGCATGCAAACATCGAAATTTATACCGACGGCTCAAAAGCGGACTCTAAGGTGGGCAGTGGTTTTATCGCCTTCCACAATAGCAACGAGATTGCCTCTGGACGTTACCGGCTGGGCAAACACTGTTCTGTACTCCAGGCAGAGCTGTTTGCCATCAAAATGGCGGTGACTTGGTCAGTCACCAACTACACTAACAACACTGTGGCCATTATTTCGGATAGTGCTTCATCCATCTCCCTGCTGCAAAGTGCCACTGGTCACCCCATCTCCAATGAAATAAAAGACATCATCAACAACACTAACAACTGCTATTTCATTTATTGGACACGAGCCCACCAGGGCACGCCCGGTAACGAGCGAGCCGATGCTCTGGCGAAATCTGCAGGAGATGACACCAACCTCCCTATCTCTTATACTAAGCTTACCTCTAAAACCGTCAAGAACCTACTTTGGAAGGATCTTATTATTTCTTGGCAGCAAGACTGGAATGATATTAACCATCATACCACATATAATTTCATCCCTCTCATTGAGCCTTTTATTCTGAGCAGGTGGTACAAACCTTGCCATCGTGCTAGTCAATTTCTCAGTAATCATGGCAGGTTCAACTCATACCTTACAAGGTTCACTAATGCGTCCAATCCTAACTGCTCCCTGTGTGGTGTCGAGGACGGCAGTCGACACTACTTCTTTGACTGCCCGATGTTGGAACCAGAGAGGCTTTGCCTTAAGCTCACTATTGAGGCACATGGTGGTATATGGCCTACTGACTGCACGAGAATCTTTGACTATGAGGACACTTATGATGCCTTCTTAACACTCATCACTAAATACTTTGTACGAACCACGGTCAATGCCTACTCCTAGCCTTTTCTGCCAAGATCACTTTGTCTTTTCTGGCCTCACCTTTTCCTACTCACGCCCTTCTGTGCATGCTGCTTTGGTGTCAATCAATCATCTCATCAACGTAACCATATTGTGTATCTTCAAATTTATGTCAACGTTTCATATTGCTAAGACGACGTAATTTGTATTGGACTGTAATCTCATTTGTCATTGCATGTATATATTGTAAATAAGCACCTATAACTAATTCCTTTTGTATTAATTGATTATTTTTACTGAATTTATTGTACCTGATATTTAATTTAATTTAATTTCTTTATATTATTATATCCTACTAACTACAGGTATACCTCGACTTACGTCGTTTCGAGTTACGTCGTTCCCGATTATACGTCGTTTGTCAAAAAAGTATACGGAAAAATAAAAATCAAGTTTAAGTCATTTTATTCGACTTTACGTCTGTCCGCCACAANTGTATCTGTATCATCCCAAGGATCAGTAAGTAAAGGTTGTTGGTGACTAGAGGTTTGTTGATCAGATTCCTTTGATATGTCGGGAAAATTGGCAGTCAGGTCGTCATTCAGAAGAAACTCCCTTCTAGCTACAGTCGGCTTAATGCGGTTAGCATGTACATGTAGCTTCCTTTTTGTTTGGAGATTTTCAATTATGAAGTTAACAGGGCCGAGGAATTCGATAATACGATAAGGTCCTGACCACCGTGGAGCCAGTTTTCGTTTTAATCCCCTCGGGGTGATGACTTCCTTTAGCAATACTCTATCTCCTATTCGGTATCGAGGAGGAGTATTCCGTCGGCGGTGACGTTCTCGCCTTACTTCAGCCGCCTGTTCCGAATAGCGTTGCGCTGTTTCGTGAGCATTCTTCATTCGTTGGTGTAGTTCGGAGGCAAAATTATCTTCTAAGTCATAAGACACTTTTGCAGGACTAGTGACTAAATCAAAATGGTAAGTAGGGTCTCTTCCGTATAAAAGGAAGAAAGGACTTTCGTCTGTAGAGGTGTGAATGGATGTATTATATGCAAATAAAGCGTATGGTATCCAGTCATCCCAGTCGAGTTGATCCTTGGCGACATAGTGAGATAAAATGTCGATTAATGTTTTATTAAATCGCTCTACCACGCCATTACTGGCTGGATGATATGCGGTAGTGAGAAGTCTTTTTATATGTAATAAGTTGCACACCTCAAGAAACATCTTCGAGATTAAATTCGGGGCTCTATCCATTAACAGTTGAGTTGGAGTAGAATGTCGCAATATTATGTGAGTGACGAATGCTTTCGCAATCGTCTTGCTACTAACATCCGGAAGCGGAACAGCCTCTGCGTATCGACTGAAATGGTCGACAAAAACCAGAATATATTTATTTCCGTTGGTTGTCATTGGTAGCGGTCCAACGATGCCCATAGCGGCACGTTCAAATACGTGAGAGAGAGATGAAAACAACTGCAGTTCTGCCTGTGCGCAGTGTCCACATCGACGATGTTTAGCACAGTTTTGACAACTTTGACAATAATTTCTTATTTCCTTTCTCATCTCTGGTCAATAAAACGATTTGGCTATCTTGGTTAGCATTTTAGTTTCTCCCAGATGTCCAGCTAAAGGATTATCGTGGAAGGTATATAGAATATATTCCTTTAGGGATACAGGAATGACGATTTGTTCCCACCACTTTGTATCTATCGGCCTTTTAGTTCCTTTATGACAGATTGCCCCTTCGTCATTGATATAAAATTCTTCTAAATTGAGATTATGATAAATTCCTGAGGTTACTCCATCGCGTAAAGTCTGGATAAACGGTCCCCAACGCGCATCTTGCAGCTGGGAAGATGCTATTTGAATTACCGAGAAGATAGGATCCACCTCCTTTATTTGCCGGATGGGGATGCGACTAAGGGCATCAGCGTTTTTATGAGCATTTCCCGCCTTATGAACAACATCAAAGTCGAATTCCTGCAAAAATATAATCCATCGAGATAATCTGGAATTAGTAGTAGAATCTTTGCAATCAAGTAACCAACGGAGGGGACGATGATCAGTGATTATAGTAAAATGCCACCCATACAAATAGGGTTTAAAATATCATACAGTCCACACTGTTGCCAAACACTTTTTCAGTGGCGCTATAATTTACCTCAGGCTTTCGTAATAAGCGACTTGCATATGCAATCAGCTTTTCCTTACCGTTTTCTTCTTGAGACAAAATGGCTCCTAAAGCAATATTAGAGGCATCAGTAGCTAATAAAAAGGGTTTTTCAAAATCGGGCGATTTTAATACTGGCGCAGAGGTCAAAATTTTCTTTAATGTCTCGAAACTTTCTTGCTGATTCGGTCCCCATTCAAAAGATACATCCTTCCTTAACAAGTCTGTTAATGGCTTTGCAATTTTCGCATAGGAGTCTATATGTTATCAGTAATAACCTGTTAAACCTAGGAATGATCTGATGTCTCGCTCATTTTCAGGACGCGGAAAGTTTAGGACGCAAGAAATTTTGTCGGAGTCAGGTTTTATGCCCCTTTCGGAAATCTCGTGATTCAAAAATTTTATCTGGCGCTGAAGGAAGTGGCATTTCTGGGGCTTCAATTTGATCCCTGCATCGCCTAATCTTTGGAAGACTTGTTCTAGTCGTTTCAGATGACTAGGAAAGTCGGGACTGAAAGTAAGGATGTCGTCCATGTATACGAGGCATGTCTTTCCCTTTAGACCATGTAATACAAAGTCCATCGTGCGTTCAAAGGCTGCAGGGCTATTTCGGAGCCCCATGGAGCAGCGGTTCCATTGATAGTGCCCATCAGGGGTAGAGAAGGCTGTCTTCTCCTTATCGCAAACACTCAGTTGCCAAAATCCAGAAACAGTGTCCATCGTGGAAAAGTATTTGGCTTGTCCCATCAAACTAAGGGACTCCTGCACCAGAGGGAGTGGATAAGGGTCTATTTTCGTGAGTTTATTTAATTTACGATAGTCAATTACAAGACGGAGTCCACCCAGTTTTTTTTGACAAGAAGTGCTGGGGAACTCCAAGGTGAGGTAGAATGCTCGATAATATTATGGGCCAATAGGCCGTCAATGATTTCGTTTAATTAGTGTCGTTGAGCATATGGAATCCTGTAGGGGGGGGAGTAAATAGGCGCAGCATTTCCTGTGTCAATCGTATGTTGTACGATGTCACAATAGCCTAGATCATAATCATTCATGGCAAAACATGTCGATATTGATACAATAGGGCCAAAAGAGACTGTTTCTCATCTTCGGGAATGTTGGTCCAATCGAAGAGCTGACCAAATTCCGTTTTCGATAAGAATGCAGTGTCTCCTTGGTTAACAAGATTTACGGGATCAGTATCTTCGCTGGCTTCCAAAAATATATTGACCTTAGTTCCCTTTATCAATTTTATCGTTGTGCGTGTAGTATTACACAGACGTATGGGGACTTGTCCCCGTTTATTGGGTGTAACTAGCACATTTACCCCAGTTATCCCCTCCTGGGGGAAGGGAATTGTCTCGATTACTCCGAGAATATTGCTACTACTCTTGACTCCTAAAATTGTAGCAGTCACTATATTATCGGTCATGGGAGGAAGCCGACAGGTTTCCACTAACACTACTTCCTTCCCCTCAGCCATTTCCTTTGGTAAATTGGAGCCCTCTTTTTTGCGGGGTGCTTCAGTTAAAAAGTGCTCTTTATTTACCTTAGTGGTTTCCTGGTCCGTTAACTGTTTAGTAGGTGCGGAGCGTAAAAATGGAACCAGCGTTTGGGGAGGAATAGTTAGTCCTCCACCCTGTAAATCGATAATCATTCCTCTTTCCATAATCATATCCCTACCAATAATACCATCACAAGGGTAGGTAATATCAATATCAACCAAGCAACATGAAAAAGGGAACTGCAGGTTCCCGATCCTGAAAGAGGGGGTTATAATACCATAGGTTTCTATAGGATGCCCAGTGGCGCTTCTCAGATCAGTTTCCCTATCATACTCAAGGTTAACTCGCTCTTGTAAGTTACTTGTGAATGCTTTAGACAGCAAGGACACCTTAGCTCCCATGTCCACCTGTACTGTGGCTGGGTTCCCTCCTATAATACATTCAAAGATGGCTTTGCCTTGGTTACTTCTACTATTAGTAGATTGGGAGGGAAGGGATTGGTCTTGCTTCCTCACGTTTGGCGGATTATCCAGCAGCTGCTTAGGTGATATGTAAGAATCTCTTTTATGTCTAGTCCTGTGATAAGGTGTTAGAGCGGTTTGGCCTACTCTATATTGAGTGTGGCGACCATCAACGCTTTGTACCTGACCTTTCCACCTATGCTGAGGTCCTTCGGGGGAAGGGGATTGAAATCAGACCCTATTACGTTCATTCCCGACGTCACGTCACGTCTCGAGGGTGACTCGTTTCTCTGAGGCATCGGCAGGTAAGGGCCATTGTTATTTCGACGGATGGGTGAGTTCCAATTTTGTCGCTGATATTGGTGAGTCTGGGAGTTCAGTCGCCCGGAGCAATGATTAGGGACACTCGGACGATGCACACCTCGCCGGGAAGGTGAATTACTATAAGGGTTATTATGGTTATAAATTCTTGTAGGACCATGCCGCATCAGAGGAGATCGGGTTGTGCCTTGGGTTAACCCATCCATTTGCACTTTGAGGTTGTCCAAAGCGTTAGCTAGCCGAGCTAGATTAACCTCTGCAGAGCATTCGGGCACTCGTTCATTATCCCAAACAGTTCGCATAATACCATGAGTATGTGCAGTGATACTCTCGATCATTTCCTCACTAATAGCTATTTTTAACACGTCATCAAACGTTTCCGGTTCTCAGGACATTATGCGTTGCCTAATTCGTATTTCGATCCCATTCATAAACTGCGCTTTTAATCTTTCATCTAACTCTTTTCTCTGGACCCTTTGAATAATGGCGGTTTCCGTAGCATCTGCCCCTGGCTCCTGTGGAATTTCTATCTCCATTGCCAAAGCTTGAAGACGGGCAGCATACGTTTGTACGTCTTCCTCTTTAGTTTGTACACATGAAAAAAATCAGTTTAGTCGCACCGAAAATGGCTCTCTTTCAAAACGCCGAATTAATAACCGTTTAAACTCATTGAAATCATCAACTACCTTTATTCGCCTATCTTTCTTTACAAATTCCCAGGCAATACCAGTGAGTTTTAACTTCACAACTGCCAGCATTTGTGCCTTTGACCAAGCAGCTACCTTCATAACATCAGTCAAGGAATCAAAAAAGTCCATTACTCTGGGGCCTCCGGTCTCTCCAGAGAATATGGGTAATAAAGGAATAATGCCACCTAACCCTCCTAGCGTGAGAGGAGCCAGCACTGGATTAGGATTAGGGGGCGGATTAGCAGGGTCCTCCACGGGATGGGGTACGTCCTCCATTATATATATATTTATTAAATTACCTATCTACTAACTTCGGGGTTTCTACCATACTCAAATCGAATTGTCGTATTATTCGAATATAGCCTTTTCGCCTTACCAACAGTTCGAGAGAGTCGGACTCCACTCCTGAAAAACCAATGTGTGAGATATCTGACCCAAGTAATTACTTCCATTAGTCCGACAACGGCAATTCGCTCATGAGTCAGGAGATGGCCATTCAAGGTTATTACCCCATAACAACAGGACGCGTTGTCTAAGAGCGGTAAAGGAGGTGAGAGGGTCGTCAGTTTGGCTTAGGCGATATTCGAATAGACAACACCCAAAATGCAAGAAAAACGAACATTTAATAATCCATTTATACTAAATACATACAGAACTTTGGATACGCTATTCTAATTATATTCTATCGCATAGTACCATTTACCATTTAGAAAGACTGGGCCGAGCTTAAAGCATAGCCTCTAGAAGAGAAGGGAGATAGAATTAGAGTTAAGGGAGGGGGTGGGGAAGGTTGGTGAAAGAGGGAGGAAGGTAGATAGGAAGGGTGGGATCTCATGGACTTGCATCGGCCGTTTATTAAAAGGATAACAATAATTACATGGTTTAGTAACAGGTTACAGTAATTTAGAACAGGAATATCCCGACAATAAATTTACGGATTACAATGTATATACAGATGGGGCCGAACAGTGTGTACAGAGGAATGGCGGCCCTTATATAGGAGCTGGGGGGAGCGAAAATTCCCAGAGGGAAATTAGCTCAACACCCGTATCTTATAGTTGAAGTTCTTGAAGGCCTTGTAGATATTATGGTTTTTAATTAGAGTGTCCAAGGGACAAGGCCAGACCGTGCTCTCAGAGATTACCGTAGCAATGAGATTACTGCGTTCCCTGTCGTACTGCGGACAATGGAAGAGGACATGCTCACTATCTTCCCAATAGTCCAAGCAAGCGTTGCAATAGCCGTCCCCTTTTTTTAAGAACCTCGCCAGGTACCCCTTAAGGTTACCATGGCCGGTAATAATTTGTGTAGTCTCATAGTCCGGGGAGAAGTGAGAAAGGGCTTTCCTCTCGTTGACCGAAGGAAAGAAACGGTGCACCAACCTTGCCGTGTTGCTATTATCCCACCTTGTTTGCCATTGCTTATTGATGAAGTTGTGGACCNTACTCTTTTTCACCTTTATACAGGTAGCCATGTGATATGCCCTATGGATAGTGTCCGTTAGGACATTCACAATTTTCTCCAACTCCTCCCCTTTCTTGATGTCAATCAGGGGTTCCGGTCTCCAGAGATCAGCCAGACATAATTTATAGAGCTCCCAGTTTGTAATATTGATGATTTTGCACCTACCACCAACTTCCCCAATTTCTATGGAGGTAAGTATATAATTATGGTCGCTTGCCGAGACCTTATCAATGGTGTTACAGGTGATGTTCTGTTTGAGAAGATTGGGGTTGCCAAGACAAACATCCACCCAACTGTCCCCCAGGACCGTAGAAGAAGGTAGGCAAAGGGCTGTCATTGAGAGACGTGAGGCTAAAGGCTGCAATTAGTTCACAGAGTTTGTACCCCCTCGGGTCTTCCTTTGGACTGTGCCAGAGGTGCGACTTAGCATTGAAGTCTCCCATAACGATAACTTTGTTGCCCTTAAGCTGTTCCATGGTCAGACTCAGGAGATCCAGAGGGTGTGTAAGATCCTCGTCTGGGGAACAATAGAATGAGATGATATAAATGCCGTCGTCCCTTGTGTCAACCTTCACCGTGGTGAAGTAGTTATTAGAGTGCTGTGCTATGAGTTGGGTCATAATGCTGTTATTGTAGGCAATGATACCAGTTTTAATCCTGTTGTCTGATGTAATTGTGTTATGAATCTTGTTGTTACCCAGCATAGCTATCTTCTTATTGTAGACATAGGGCTCTTGGATTACAAGGATATCCACTTTTAGGTCATGCACCATCTGCAGAGCTTCTGTGGAGGCCGCTTTAGACCGTTGCAGATTAATCTGGAGGATATTGAGGGTGTGACTTTCCTTTGGGCTGTGAGGAGTAGCCATGGTGACGTGGTTGAGGGACTGATCCAAAGAACCTGCGCACCATATCCGATTACTCATATTGCGTGGCCCTTACCTGATTTATTTTATACCATTTAAGAAGTTGGCAGCTCTTGTCAAAAGCGTTGTGGTCGGTGGGGAGAGCTTTATTCTGGGGTACCGTCTTGTTGTATCTTCTGCAGTTGTGACAGACTGGGTCCCTTTGAAGATTGGGGCAGTCTCTGAATCTGTGCTTTTTGGTGCAGTGTGTGCACCTTTGTTCCTCTGGGCAAGTATAAGAGGTGTGCCCAAATCCTGTGCAATTATAACACCGGGTGATGGCGATGTAGTCATCAACCACTATTGAGCTCCAGCCCAGGTAAACTCTACGGTTCTTCATTAGCGCGTTCCTTGTGCTGGGGGCCACCTTAAGGATGACGTGCCTAGATTCTTTATTCCTTGTTGGATGGAAACTGTGGTTAATTGAGTTGTTTTTGTGGAATTCTTCCTCTGTAGTGTATTCCTGTATTTTAGTATTCTGGTCATAGATGTTGCCTAGAAGTTCTTCATCTTGAACACTATCCGGGACATTAAATAATATCACCCTTGGCTGTTTTTTCCTTGGTTCCACCACCTTTATTTTGTGAGAGAGTGCTTCCTGAGTTTGAACTGCTGTTTTGAGGGTCTGAAGGTCACTTTCTTCTTGCAACTGGATCTTAAGGTCCCCACTGGGGAGGAGCCTTACTGCCTTGATTTTTACCCCCAATCGCTTGGGGTCCACATATTTTTGAATCAATTCTAACGTCTCCTCTGGGATGGGGGTGGGCTCATCAGGACTTTTTATTTTCGTGATAACCATATCATAGCTAGCATTCATTGGGTTCTTAACCCCCTCAAGTTTTTCTGATTTTGCTGTGATAAGTTTTGTAGTACTACTACTGGGTGTTCCCTTATTCCTTTTGGTGACCTCCGCATAAGAACCTTTGGTACCCCCAGAGTTGGGGCCAGAGAGAGCCTTTACCCTTTCCCTTAGAGCAAGAATGACTCCAAAAAGCTGGTTGGCGGCTGCATGCATTCTCACCGCCGCTTCCCGTGCCATTCCTCGCTCCTTAGATTTGACAGAGATGTTGGTGTTCGTCGGAATATTGCTCATGATAGTTTCTAGTTCCTCGTTAATACTAGAGATAAGGTCCTCTTCGACGAAGCTGTTGTTCGTTTCTGTGATATCTTTTTTTTCCTCAGCCATTATAATAGGCACAAAATGAGGGGTATATTAAAACCAGTACTTTTTACGAGTTGATTGGTATAACACACAACACGGGGCAACAAGCGTGTCCCCCAACAGCCGAGGCTGCCGAAATAGGGTCAGTTAGGGGATGACCACGTGGCGAAACCAATGACCTTTAGTTCCTTTGTGTTGGTCCGACCGTAGAAGGCCCGTAACTTAGTAACTAATAATTGTAGGTGGTTGAAAATTTCCACACAGGTTGCTGGATACCCCCTCAAAGAAACACCTATGTATAAACCTCGCCGACGGCCCGATAAAAACACGTAAAGGTCCCAATAAAACACAGACGGCTCGCCAGATTTTAATACCGAAGGTGCCGTTAGATCCAGCGTGAGATCCTCTTTCGACCGATATATTATATCACCACTTACCGGCGGAAAATACCTGGAAATGGCGGCCGGAAAAACTGGAATTTTCGGAGGTCGTATCTCCCGAATCGCTAATCCAATCCGGAAAAACAATACTTCAATGGATAGCACACGATGAGCTGATTCTAACGGTACAAAATAATCCACGGATTGATGATTCTGAGTGCCGATGCAAAGATCGAAAACGGAGCACATAGAATACACGTCCTAACCGTCCAGTAACCACTCTATCACTTATCGCATAGTACCGAGAGAGAGTTTACATGGTCAGCGATCATACCTCTGGACGAGTTCAATTTCGTATTCGTCGAGATTCTTCGTTCAACCAGGTGCGGCGATAGGCGCTCGGATCGGATTCTGTCGGCGATACAGATGATGATCTGGGTTGGGTTGATCGAGAGGTGATCGGGTGTAGTTCATTGAGAGACTTCTCCGACCCCCGTTTCGGATAGCAACCCCCTTTTTATAATAGGGATCACATGATTACAATTACCAATCGTACTGATCGTTGATGACTGTCATCACAACTCCGGTTGAGAATCCGGTGAGGGAGGAAGTAGTTTCCGGCAGAAGAAGGATGAGCATCTGTTTAAAGATTTTGATAAGATCGCGTACGGGGGGGGTTTCAATAAAATTTTATGTGGCTGGGCCTATTATTTGGACCCTTACATGTTACTCGCGTTTGAATATTTTGGTGGATATCTGTAGAGAGGACGTCATGGTAATCTGTTCATATCACATTCATGTTATTTTCAGGCCTGAAAGATTCTTTCCTTCCACCAAAAATTTTGATGTCCTCTGTTACTCACGTTCGAATTTTTTGGAGAATTTACAGCTTCTTCGTATGATGTATGCCGAAAATGAGATAAGCTGTTTATATCACATTGATATAAACAGCTTATCTTTTCAGACAAGAAAGTGTTTCTTTTTGTCTTTCTAAACATTTTCAGACAAGAAAGTGTTTCTTTTTGTCTACCAAAAATTTTGATGTTCTTTGTTACCCACGTTCGAATTTTTTGGAGGATTTACAGCTTCTTCGTATGGTGTATGCCGAAAATGAGATAAGCTGTTCATATCACATTGACAAATGTCATTTTCAGGCCTGAAAGTTTTCCTTTCCTTCCACCAAAAATTTTGATGTCCTCTGTTACTTACGTTCGAATATTTTGGTGGATATCTGTAGAGAGGACGTCGTGGTAATCTGTTCATATCATATTCATAAATGTCATAAATTTAGGTGAAAATCAGTAAGATGGGGAGATTCTGTGACAAAAAGTAAAGTCTACCCACATTGGTCAGTGGAGTTTCGGCGACAAATAGAAACTGGGGTTGATAGAGGTTGAAGTACTTTTGGTAATTCTACCAAAAGTAGTCATGGTCCACTTTCCGGGAGAGAGGATGGTCAACGACTACTGATTAATACCGGTCTGCTATTAATATTTGAAAAGTGATCCGTGTTAGACAAGTTCTGATCGAAGTTGGTAACCTTAACCTTAACATCCGAAAGACTTCATATAAAACATGTTTAAATAAAAATAATATATATTGTAATGCCAGAATAATCACTTTTATTCATAATAAAGTGTTTAAATTTTGGCAACAATTATGTGTATAAATTACGTGGGAAGTATGTTCTGGAAAATATTGCGTTTATAGAAAAATTCTTGGGCTGCAATTTGAAAAAATTGTTAAAATAAATTCCTACTATCGCCCTCTGTCTATCTGTCCTTCATTAATATCGAGAAAGGAGTTAGATATATGAAAGTCTTAAAAGATCTGGAAAGCTTGGGGCAGGAGGCCCACATTAATTATATACAAACTTTCGGTTTAGAATGGAAGTAATGTTACCTTCGATTCAAAATTCCCCCAACGAATTAGACATAAGACCGACAGGACTCTATTTCTAACAGGAAAAATATGGGCAGGGGCAAGACACCGCTAAAAGAATTGAAAACATTTTGATGAAAAATTGTAGCCCAGCATTGTGACAATATAATAAATAATCGCTGGTTAGAATCAATGTTCCCTCTAATTTTTTTGTAGCTGAGCGGAACATGTACTTCTCTGAGCAAAAAATTTCTGCTGAGCAGATACATAGACAATCTTATTTTTTTTTTCTTTTAAAAACTATAGTAATTAATTATGAAGTAAAGATTAAAATTTATTTCATTATAAATAAACTTTTATTAATGTAAAGTATTTAGTCACATACTAATCATAAAAAAATATATCAATTTTGATTAATATTTTCACGTCTATCTTTTTGAAATCCAGTATTTGTAGACTGATTGAAGATTCACTTCCTCTCCAGAGGAAAGATGCATTCGAATTCTCATTAAATCACATAAATGCTCAGATTCAAGTCTATTTCTAATTTTACACTTAATTGAATTCATAACACTAAATCCACGTTCACAGTCAACACTAGATGCTTGAAATGTTCCAATGATATCGATAATAACTGTTAGTTCTTTAAACTCATCATCATTACGTACATAATTTAACATATCGGTGAATGTCTTAATTGAACAATTTTCCAATTTTTGGGATATAATGAATTTAAAATTACAATACTGTTCTAATATTTTTGAGGCAGCACTTTCATATTTATCGACGTTTAAAATTATTGAATATTTTCTAATCAATCTCTTAATATTCTCATTTCCAAATTTAAAATGGCATTAAGGTTAAATGCTTGCCACTCCTTTAACTCATCATCTGGAAATCTGTTATTTAAATGATTACATACACGCTCAACAAATTGAATAATAGATGCAGTATCCACATCATATCCAACTTTTTCAAAAACTTTTTTTACTTTTTCACTCCAATAAATTTTGTTACCAAGATACTGTGATTTTAATTTATTAATTTTGCCTTAACATAGTCAAATGCTTCAATCGTAGTTAAACAACTTTTTTGCAAGAATTTGCAAAGAGATGCTAGATCATCTAAAACATCATTAAAAACTGTTAATGCCACTCGATACTGCGGATTTGTCAAAATCGTTATGCAGTAATTGCAAATAGGATCATTAAAATTATTTACTTGTTATTCACAATATTCAATTAAAACATCGTAATTCCTCATCAAAGCATTCACAGCAAATTGCCTTGATAACCAAAGCACCTCATTCAGTGGCTTAAAGGACACAACATCATGTTCGGAAATATGAGCAAGTTCTTCTAATTTCTATTTATAATTTATTTTGTATACTAGTACTTTCTATGTATTAACAGGACTTATTATACTGGAAAATTATGGATGCAGATATTTAGTCTTACAGTTCAAAAATAATGTTCTTTATTTAGTTCACCTGAACACACACACACACACACACACACATCAAACATGTGTTTCGGACTTGT